TATTTATTTTACATTTATTCTTTCTAATTAATAACTGTGAGAAAAAATAATTTAGAATCAAAGTTTGGCGGAAAGAGGTATCATAAAATTTTACAAGTTCGTAAAAAGAAGACCGGCAGAAATGACTGCCATATCAGTAAAAATTTTCGGTACAACACGGTTGCGTAAATAAAGTGAAACAAAAAAAAAAAAAAAAAAAAAGATGACCCAGCAAATCTATGAACATATTTACATCGCATTAATTTATCAGACATAAAAAAAAAACGGTACGTGTAAACATATATATTAAAAAAATTCAAGATTAGACAATAAATCATATTATTATGACTTCATATTGCTTTCATAAAATTTTTAAATAGAATATCTATCGAGCGAACATGGAGATTTCTGCTTTGTGCTCTAAGTTATCAATCTTAAAATTTTTAAAAAATTCGTGAAATTTATAATAATTATTCTAATAATTTATGGTAACTAGAAATATTTTTTTTAAATTATAATTGTAGTTTCCATAGGTAACATATTTTTCGTTACAATTTATCAAAGATTTTAACTAATATCTTTATTTAATTTGTTTATTATGTGTTTTAAGAAATAGTAATATATAATTTTTAATAAGACTTTTGTAGGCAATTCTCGTTAATGTACTTCATTGATTTTACGTATCAATTTTTTTTTAATGAGATAAAAGTATTGAATTATAGTTTTCATTTGAATTCAATTTTTTGAATTTTCATTTCAATAAATAATTGGTATCGATGAATGATGTAGCATTAATATCCATGGTAATTTATAATATCAATTGTGTGTAACTGATTTATATTTTTTAATATTTTCTAGTTAACTGTAAAATGGTAATTATTAGAAAATTAACTAAATATAAGCATTCTATTTTGTATTAGAATAGAATAGAATGAAAGTACTTCAAACGTAAATTAGTTTTTATTAAATTTTTTATTTGTACATTAATCAATTTTAAGCATGTAACGACTTAAATAATTATATTTATTATAAATTTATTATAAATATATTAATCATCTATATATATATATACACAAGGAAGAGTCGCAATGGTAAAATTTAATACATTGTCTATCTATGGTTTAATATTTTTATAATAATAAATCGACATTGTTTCAAAACTTGAACATCAATTTCTATAAATCTGTAAATATTTTCAAAGTTTCTATCTTTTGATAACATTTACGTGAGTGCATATAAGATTTTCATTTAAGTCAGTCCTATTTTTTTCGGAATTATCTATTTTTCGATGTTAATCTACAAAGATGAATATCATTGTCAATATCAAATATTCGTACAGTTGAACTTTACATTCGTTTTATAAATATTTTGGATAGAATATGCTTTCATTTCTTAATGACATACGATAAAAACGTATAGATATATTTTGTTTTGTGTATAATAATCGACTTGTTAATTAATTTATTATAATAGTATGTATACTATTGTTATCAATATTTCAAACAATATTTTAATTATTTCGTTTTATATCCTACGTCGATGGTCAATTAATTTGGTTTTGTTTTTATGTTTTCAATTATAAACAATTATTTTGATATATTTCAGAAATTTTTTGTTGAATTTTTCTTAATACATTTTATTATTATTTTACTATAATTTATATTATTTAATATATTTTTTATGTTGTTGATTTTCTTCTTATACTTTTCAATTAATTTATATTCTATTTTTAATGATTAATTCTATCGAATAATTATAACAATTAATTACATAGTTTAAATTTATATCTATTTTAAAAATACATTACGATTCATTAATAAAAATCTTTTATTTAAAACAGAAAGTAATATTTGAAGAAATATAAATATATAAGAGTTCGCAACAACAACAACAAAATAAAAAAAGAAAAAAGAAAAAAGAAAAAAGAAAAAAGAAAAAAGAAAAAGGAAAAAAGAAAAAAGAAAAAAAAGAACATTCAATGTCGATGAAATCAATTAAAGTTAATTATAACGTCATTGCAATCAATTGGAAGAAAATAAAATAAATAAAAACAAATTGTAGTGGTTATTTATATTAAGCATGACGAGCAATGTATTACTGTAAATCAAGACTGATATCAGAGTAATAACTCATATATGATGAAAATTTCGTCGAGTCTTATAATGCTTAAATAGATTAAATTATTTTTAAATTATTATTATAATATAATATAGTAAAGATATTATAATCAATATGATATAATTTTGAAACGAGAACGAACACTTTATTAGAAAAAATATTTTATCATAAGTTCATTATTATTGACAACATATTTTTATTTAAATATATCTTTCTGTATTAAGCCAATTTAAATTTAAATAAATCAATCTGTGTTATTAAGAGATAGAATATATATATATATATATATATATATATATATATCTATATATATGTATATATAGATATATAGATTTGTATATTATGGAGTAATATCAAGAATTCCATAAATTTAAAAAATTTATTTTGATATATTTTCCGAAATATATAAACAATTTTATGATTTTATATTTTATTCTATAGAAAGTTAATTTATTTTATAAAATGGTAGATATCTTCCAATACTTTAAAACTTTGCACAATTCAATGATTAAATATTTATTACGGGCTCATTAAATGTTCAGATTTGAATTAAAAAAATACATTATTTTTAAAATATATGATTAGTACTTGAATGTAAAATGTAAAATATTTGAAAAACATTGAATTAAAAGAAAAAATTGACAATTAAATTTATTACGAATGAGGAAAAGAAAACTTGATTATATAACTCGACTTCAACTCAATAAAATTTTACTTAATTATATTATAAATGTTTGTGAATGATTAATCATATGTATAAAAATACGTAATATATGAAATAGTTTATTTAATTTTGTATTTACAATTTTAATTCTATCGGAATGCGATATTTTTATGAAATTTGTGCTATTAAATGAAAACAATTTTACTGAAAAAAATTATATTAAATTGAATTAAATTGAATTATATTAAATTATATAAAAATGATCAAACTAAAGATAAATATGAAAAATAGTTGTATACCATATTTTAAAGTTTTTAATATTTTCATACAGAATAAGAAAAAAATATGACATAACATTATTTTATTTTATGTACGCGAAGAACATTCCGTATTGTCTGTATTTAATAATTACTCATAATAATTGATTTTTTATTTTTCAATACATATTTTCTTTATGTACTTTCTAAATTTATATATTATATAAATTATGTGAGTAATCGAAGATTTGATTCTCGTCCGTGACCGATTTGGTAAAACAAAAAGATGAATTAAGTTGATATTCTATTGATCAGTTAAATATATCATTTCATTTAGTAATACATATTGATAGTATTTTTTTTAATTTTTTTTTCAAAATCTCTACACTTTAAAATTAGCTCAATAGAATAAATAGCGTAATTATATTTCAAATAATCTAATTGGATTGTGAAAATAAGTTTTTGAAATTAAAGAGTACATAATTAGATTGAATTTCACGGCAGATTATGAAAAAAATTTCATAGGTAATAATAGTTAATTTGAATATTATGTTTTTTTTATAAAAATAGTGACAGAGTCACTATTAAATTAAATATAAAATCCCTTAAAATTTCAATCCTTGACATTCAATTGGATTATCATTGAGAAACATAATATTATGAGATAGTTTATTCGCTTTAGATAATTATTTAAAAAGTAGTTCATATTATGTTGATATGCTGCTTTTGCAGTATTTTAAAAAATTTGTATATATATTGAATTAAAATATATATATTCATAAAATAATATTACATTCATGTAATTAATTGATTGAAAAACTTCAACATGCAATGTTAACTATAGTATTTAGAATCCGTTTGGATATGTTGTTTTCAGTATTATCTACTCGAATGCTTATTAAGATTAGTTAAATGTTATGTTTCAAGGTTGTTTTTTCTATAAAATTATTTTTAGATTTTTTAAAATGTTATTTATTGAAAATGGTAGAAATTGGAAATGTACATTTGTGTAATAGTTTTTTCGTCGTGTAAATAAAAAATATATAAATTGATTAATGAAACTAATGTTAATAAGTTTTTTACACTTCTATAATTATTTCATATTTCACTATTGTAGTTACCAAAATTATTATTATATTATAATAATAATTATTATTATTAAATTATTAATTTCTGTTATGAAGTATAAAATTTATTAGCTATAAAATTAACTTGTCGAACGTTTATCGTGAATGTACAATCTACCTGACCTCAATTATAAAATAATGTATTCTACCATAAATGGTGGAACCTTTATATATATATATATATAAGAATGTATTAGAAAAAATTGTATATTTAAATTTTAATAAATTTGTCATTAAAAGTCCTATATACGGCTTAGGAAAAATAAATAAACAATAATTTTTCAGACACTGTACAAGTAGTATATATTTTTATTTACATTTTCGTATTCACAAAAACATTAATCAATTTTGATATATGTTCTCGTACGCGCGCGCGCGCACACACACAAAATAATAATAATAATAATAATAATAATAATAATAATAATAATAATAATAATAATAATAATAATATAGCGAGAGATTCTCAATGTTCTACCTTCAAAATCAAACACTCAATACGCCCTTATCACTAGTTAGAATCAATAAACAGTATGATCGATGAATCAGACTCCGCTTTCCAACAATTAAGTTGCGTACGAATGGTCAAACGAACCTCGTGCAAAGTTCACGCGACTCGCAGCTGAGAAATGCGTGTGTATATAAATGCACACGAAGCACTTCAATAAAAGGGAACACGTGAGTTTGCCTCCGTCCCTCTCTCTCTCTCTCTCTCTCTCTCTCTCTCTCACTCGCTCACTCACTCTATCGCCCCTCCTACGATATAACGTCTTCGTTTTACCGCTTCTTGTGTGATATAACGGGCTTCGAACGCGTACTCACATGCGTTTGCAGCCTTGTTCGATATCTTTGGCAACGCTGGCGCGAACGAGTCGCTCAGTCGCGAGTTTGAAAGCGAATCGTGAGAATGTATACTTGGCCGAGTGTCGTCGTTGCTGCAGCTCCTAAATCGTGGTTTAATATGTTAAAGTTCACGTAAGGAGGAGTTTGGTCGTGCAGCTGCTGGTTTCGAGATATTATGTACGGTTGGGCTTGCAGCTAAGGCTTTGATCGGCAATTTATCAACGAGCAGAGCTTGTTGAAGGGCATAGTTGATAAAGGCTTCGGTCGATTGCTCAATTGGAGCAGCTGCAATACAAATACGTTATTAACCATTTATTTTGTGTAAGTTCTGTACGCTCTTTTATTGAAATTTTGTTGTGCATATGATGGGAGATTGTCGAGTCGCATCGAACATTAATTAACGTAGGATTTCTTAAATCTTTTATATATCGAGCCTGTGTTTACTTATTTGCGCTAAATGATGTTTCATCGTTGATCAAATGAAATTTTATGGTATCAGAACGAGTTAGAATTATGAATTTCGCTTTATTTAAAATCCTAATGACCAGTCCGTGCAACAATAATCTGTAAAACGTTCGCCTCGTTTTGAAAAAATCAACCCCAATGGGTAAGAAAGAGAAGAAATTATTTATATACAATGTATAATAGATGGTGAAATTCCAACAGGTCAGCAACTTTCGAAATACTTTTTCGACCATTCGCTATTCTCAGCACGCTCGGTACATTAAAATTAGCATGTACACGAAAATAATTGACCACGTTTTTACATTTTATTAAATATCTTGATTCTGAAATGGATGCTCGCATAAATATAAATAAAAAATGATAGTAATATATCAGAGCTATTATTATTATTATTGTTATTGTTATTGTTATTGTTATTGTTATTGTTATTGTTATGGTTATTGTTGTTATTTTTATTAATACATTTGTCTATTATTCACGGATTTACCAAAGTATTTGATATTGACAAGATTATAAATATGAATATTGACATAAGCACAGAGACGTCAATGCTTTATGATATATACGTAACGAATGAAAATTCTACTTTATTTTATAAAATCGAAGTTTTCTTTATGGTAAAATAATATATAAACATAGACGGATAAATTTTCGATTTATATTTTAAAATAAATTTACATATAAACGTATAAAATATAAAAAAAAAAAAAAAAAAAAATATGAAAAAACGGATAGAAATATATAAAAAATATATGAATAAACAAACGTTTTATTATATAATGTCATAAACTAGTAAAATACATGTATTTAGATTATTTTCTATTTTGAAGTTTTTCTATTCCATCGTTTCTTATAAATAATTGAGTCGCATACACATGAACATTAGAACCATAATGAACGATTACTGTAATTATATAACTATGAAGAGATTTTTTATATTTTTAAATATCGAAAGATTTCAATTTTGTGCTTATTCGATACATTTTAATTTATCGCAAGTTTAATTTATTTCTAAATAAGCAATGATTTTTTTTTTTTTTTTTTTTTTTTTTTTTTTTTTACAAATTCTAGTCGAAATAACATTTAAATGTATAATTAAATAAATAAAATAATTAAATGTATTTTTCTCTGTTTTTCGATAGTGAACAATAGATAATTAAATAAATAAGTTATAAAAATATTGTGTATTATATATCCATTAGAAAAAAAAAGTTTTTTTTGATAAATTTTATTCTATAGAATTAAATACCGAATAATTTAATCAAATTATATTTCGTGTATGAGCTTTTTGTTAATAATATAAATAAACAAGCAAATTAATTAGATTATAAAATTTAGGGGGTTGTAAAGTGTGTTTTATTGCATATTAAAATAATATTTTGATATTAATTTGATTTTACGTCCATTTATTTCATACATTTTATTAAATCATTATTTTACATAGATTTTATTAAACTTTCGAATTAATTACTTTAAAAATACTTAAGAATAATATTATATTTTGTTGTATCGCGAATTAATTAATTCTATTAGTGGATATTAGTTCTTTATGAGGTTATTATGAAGTCATCTATTATTACATACATTATGAAGAATTCAAATTAAAAATAGTTTCAGAGTTATCATCCTTAGTTTCGAGGCTCAGGTATACGGGTAACATAAAACAAAATCTGTTCTATTAAAGATAGAAATTAGTTTGCAAAATACTTATTGACATTCGAATCTTTATAAATATTCATATAATTTAGCTTACATTTTAAAATATATTTAGGCATAAAAAGTAACTATGCAAATTGAAAATATCTAATTCATATAAGTATGGAACGCATTACAAATATGTATACTGTGAACTTTGAAAAATATTTTATTACGTTGGCTAATAAAATAACTCATTATTATCAGTAATAAGTTCATTACTACTTTGCATAAGCTGTTCTTTAAACATGCATAAATGCGTAGTAATTGAATACAAATTTAAAAAATTTTATGTATGCTAATTTTAAGATTCAAGTTTTGTAGTTTAATTATATAACATTAAAAATAGTTAAATATTTAATTTCTTGTTATATTTTTAAATTAAAAAAAATATATATTAAAATTATTACAGCATACTAAATTGAATTATTTAAAAAATTCAAAGACATTAATAAATTAATCTTAAGTTATTCTTGATGCTATAGAATATAAATTTAATGAACGTGTTTTTTAATCACCATTCTATCAAAGATTTTTTGCATAAATTTTTTGCAAAAATTCCTTTACGTACGTTAGAAATTGTAAAAACAATAAAATATTTTAAAATAAAAAAAATAAATTAATAGAAAATGAATTTTAAATACACGTATTCGTATTACCATAACAGAAACAGCTATCCTATCAACTTTTTTGTAATAATTTACAGATTCATTCAGCTAGTTACAATTAACTGCAACGCGTGAATTTTTATTTATTTATCTTTACGTGAATTCCAGTTTTATCTCGCTTATTTTCAAATAAAAAAAAAATCAGATAATTTCTTTATTTATATAATGAATAATAAATAGGTTTCACTAAAACTCAATAATTTACAGATTGTAATTCATTTAAGTAATAATAAAGAAATAATCGACATTTATTCGTTTATAATAAGACCTCGCTTTTTAAGGTAATAAGTTAAGATAATGAGTTGATTATTTTGATTTTTAATATATATTATTAAATTTTCCTATTTAGCATTAAAATTTATTTTTTTGTACATTAATTACAATGAGTCTCATTTGTATAATAAAACTTAAGTAAGTCAACCGCATTTGAATGTTTATAGTTTGAGATTAAGCATATATTTGGCTTTATAATGAGCTAAATTATATTATATTTTTAAATTAAAAAGGAATTTGTGCTTTTATTTCAATAAGAGGCTTATAAAATTGATCATTTTTTAAGCAATTAAATCTTATTGGAAATTGTCATTTGTATAGAATAAGAAAATTTTAAAAGAAAATATATGTTTTTATATTTATCTATTTTTTTTTATTTCCCTGTGGATATTATATTTTACTTATATCTTAGTAATATATTCTTTTATTCTGTATTTAATTTCTGTAATATTTTTTCTGTCTAATCAATTATTTTTATAATGATATTTCGATCTATTATTTAGTCTAGATATTATCTATTATTAAATCTATTATTAATTGCAGATTAATGGTTGATGATGTTTTTTTTTTTTTAATTTTCCAAGATCTTTTAGTCTTTCAAAATTTATTCTTAATTTAACTTAATTATGTTTAATTTATATAATATTTTAATAACAATATATAGCTATAAAGCGCAAGAAACTTTTATCTCTGCTTTATTAACATAATGTTTGTGGCTATTATTTATCCGTAACTATAATATTTACAATACTGTCAAATAATTTTAAGACTTTGTATAAATGTGCTATGTATTTATTAAATTAGAATTTAAATATTGTTTTTTTTTCTCTTAAAATTAGGGCAATCGTGAATTTTGTTTTCCTTTACGTCGACAACTTTAATTAAGTAAATTAGCAAAAACATAAAAATTTACTCAAGTTAAATGAGAGTAATAATAAATTTATAATATAATATAAATTAACTGATTATTCTTTATATTAGGCATTATATTGTTAAATTTTTTAAATATTTTGACTGCAATTTAAGGTATTTTTAGAAAGTATCTTTAAAACGGTGTCATTATAATATAATAACAATTAACACAACAAAATTAATTATACTTATCAATATCGGTACATAGTCTCTACATTAGATTAAAGTAAAGCTTCTAGCATGCATACATGTAAATAATTATGTAAATAATTTTTAAATAAGTTTTAGTGTCCAATAATTATTGAAGAATTATTAATTATTAATATGATTATTTAAATAGCTAACTTTTTTTGTAAAATATAACCAATTAAATTATAACTATGTATTATTTTACGACTATGTATCATTGTTTAAAGTTATATTGATTAAATTTTTTAATCAATTACACTTATAGTTATAAATAGAATATTTACATTAATTGTTAAAAGTCATAACGAAAAGTTTGACATTTATGTCTCGATAAAAAATACCATTCATTGTCTTTTAGAAAGAATTTTTATATCCAATTTGTTCCGAATTATTTAAAAAACTATGACATTACTAATGAAATTGATAATACTGATATGCATGTATAATTTGATAAATAAAATATAATATATTTTAAGTTAAATGTTTGCAAAGAATTCACTTAATCATTTGTAATGCTCATATATTGTTTAGTAAGGCACATTTTATATCAAATTATTTCGTAATAAAAGAAAATTTCTCTAATTATTCATTTTAATCATTTACATTATTATTTACATTATTTTTAGTGTTTTTTTTTTTTTAGAATTAATATTTTATCGAATAGTATTAATACAATTGGTTATATCATTGTCAATAAATTGAAGAAGATGCGATTAATGGCAAAGAAAATATAAATTACAGTAGTTCCATTTTTTCGCTATAAATATAAAAAATTGATATTTTTATAATATAATAATAGTTAATACCAATATTAAGTTATTTATTGTCTTTGCATAACTAGATATATATATCATTTAGCAATATGACAAAATTGATAACATATGGGTAATTGTTTGTATTCATTCTTTTATTAATTAAAAAAAAATTCAATATAGAATATCGCATCGTTTCTATTATTTATAATGCCAAATAATTATTATGGTGAATTTTTGAAAATAAATGATTATTGGAATATTTATTTTTGATTTCTTTTCTCTTTTTTTCTTCGATTATACTTAACTTTTTCTATAATTTGTAATTTTTAATCAAAATTTGTAATGATAATAATAAATTTTATTTAACTCGTGCACTATTCTGTAATAATTTAATTTATATAAATTGTATTAATACTTTGCGTTTTTTTTATTTGTGCACTGCTTCTTCGTAATTTATTATTTTGGTTTACCGTCTTGATTAATTGGATAAATTTTATTAATTATTTATCTCTTTGCAAGGATTCGAACAAATTTCGATAATATTCTTTATGGAATATCTGTTATTAGCACTTATATTTGAAATTTAATTTTTCTATATTATTCATATTATTTTCAATGTAATAAAATATATATTGCTTGTTATATAATTTGTAAATATATGGACAATTTTCTTTATGTTTTCTGCTTATATTATTAATATCTATTTAAATGAATTCTAGGATTATGATTATGGAATTCGAATTTGTTTATTGAGAAATTAATTTTCAACATTAGGCATGGACAGTAGTAAAAAGTATGATAATCCGAATCCCAGACTTAAGACTAATTTTGTTAGTAAATGGTTTTTTGGGTAAGTTTTAAATATTGTATTATATATTTGTAAGCTTAATTTTTAATGCAAAGATCGTTAATTAGTTTTATTAATATTTTATGTAGTATGTATCGTAATTACAAGCATACCAAATTTTATACGAATCAAATTTTGGGAAAATATTCTCTTAACGATATCTTAGACGGTTATGTAGTTCTAATTGTTTCAAAATGTTTTGGAATTATAGAAATATAGTACATTTACTAATATGTAAAACTCATAATAATAACTTATAATATACTTATAATAGATCTTAGTAATAATTTTGAAATAAATGTGAATACAAGAGAAATGAACTCTTAGACATTTATATTTAATATTTAATATCTCAGAACATAAAGTATTATATAGTATAATTATATAAAAACAAAAAACAAAATTTTATTCATAAAAATCTTCTTAGAATATGTCTTATTTTATTTTTTATAGATGGCTTATTCCAATATTTTGGTATGGCAGAAGAAATGATCTCGAACCAAAAGACATATACAATGTTTTGCCAAATGAGAGAAGTGAAAATCTTAGTAATAAGTTAGAAAGGTTATTTTATTACTTCTACTTATATATAATAAATAAATATTAATTGTAAATTATTAACATTTCTACATACATATGAATATGTAGGAATATAAATTATATACTATTTTGTTTTAATAAATATAAATATAAAGAATTAAAATGTAAATGATTTATACATATTAATTTCATAATATACAAAGGAATGTTTGGTGTTAAAGAGATCATGTTAAAATTATTTATCAATTATTAATCATTGTAGTCTGTACAAGAGTTATCAGGTATTGGGGAATTGAGTATAATAATATATGTGGTCAATTTTTATATAAAATTTTCTTGTTCGTGAAAAGATTTTTCAATAAATTTTTTTCGCCAAAAGACAATTTATATATATATATATATATATATATATATATATATATATATATATATATACTTAAGAGATTAATTTAATTTTATTAATTTTCTATTTGTTTTCGAATATTTTAATTTTTTCATTGACTTTAATTGATATAATTTGATGAATCAACATTCATTATTCAAGAGTCTGTCATGTATTTTTTCGAAATTGTGCTTGTTATATTTTATTAATAAATTTAATTCTGCAAAATTATCGTCCATTTGATAAACTTATTTATATAATATTATAAAAAAAAAAAAAAAAAAAAAAAAATTAAAATATTATAAAATTAAAAAAAATGTAGTGGTATTATTTATATTAATTCAAAGTTGTGTTGTGTTGTAGAAATTGGAAAAATGAATTGGATGAAGCGCTTAGAAGTAAAAGAAAACCGAACTTTCAAAAAGCTATTCAAAAGACATTTCGATATACATTTATGAAGATTGGAATAATAATTTTTATTTTGACAATTATTGTAAAGTAAGTAAGCTAAAATTAACAATATTTTGATATTTTCTATAATCTTTTAAAAGATCATTTCATTATTTTCATCGTAAATATTTTCCCTTATACTTAGAACTCTGCAACCTCTGGCTTTAGGTTTTTTAATAGAACATTATAATTCAAATTCTACATCAAGTACAATTGATGCTTTTATTTATGCTTCTGGAGTTGTACTTATGACTTTTTTGGAGTCTATGATATTTTGCCATACAAATTACCAAGCGCGAGAACTTGGCATGCAACTGCGAATCGCGTGTTCGTCTCTAATCTACAGAAAAGTATGTTGGTATTATTTAGATTTTGTAATATTTTTTTTTTTCCTCTTCGAATCATTTAACTACTTCCGTCTATTAAGAATACGTAATTTTATGAGAGTATTTTCATATAAATTGCATATTTATAATTTTTAGATATATTTATTTTGGTTTAATGCTCTATTTGTAAGGCATACTTCTTGCCTTCTTCGTAAAATGGAAATGAAATTTTGTTTTTTTTTTTTTTTCATTTTTAAATATCTATAAAATTAAGTAGGTGTAATGTGATTATTACGATTAATTTTTTGAACTATATAAGAAATTGACTTTGAAAAATAAATAAATAAATTATAATTAAAACAATCGAATTATTCAATTATTATTATAAAAAAAAAAAAAAAAAAAAAAAAAAAAAAAATTGATAATCGAATATCAAAGAAAAGATTTTTTCTTTGATAACTCTATTTCCAATAATAGAAATTATTAAAAGAATTAATTAATATAATTTTCGAAATTTCATTAATGATTATTGTTATTATGCTTTTAAACTACATGCTTAATATCTATAGATTATGAGGTTATCTTGCATATCAGCAAATCGGGCTTCCAGCGGACTCGCAATAAACTTGCTATCGAATGACGTTTTGAGGCTCGACAATGTTTTTTTATTTCTTCATTACATTTGGGTCACACCATTGCAAGGAATTCTAATCGCCTATCTTATATGGAGGAGTGTGGGCATTGCGGCATTGGCTGGAGTTCTGTTTATAACGCTGCAAACTGTTCCTGTTCAAAGTATACTTATCACTTTCTTTTAAAACATAATCTTTACACAATTCAGACCTTCAATAGGATTAATTAACTTTATTACATATTCAATAATGAAACATATATCGTACGAAGAATCATTAAATATATAATTCATAAGTTTAGCTAATAATCTTGTATGTAACATCAACTTCATTTTTCGATCGGATCAATTCATTACAAATGAAGGATAAAATACGAGAAATTGCTAATCCTTTCTTATACCAAAAAGGAATTAGCAGACAACATATGTTGAAAAATTTCTCTTATTTCTAAGATCTTAGCGCAAATTTTATATATTCAATAAAGTTAGCAATAATTACGAAATTTATAGGAATAATTAAAAATTAAAAGTTACGGAAAAAATTCAACACCATAAATTTTTATATACGTGTATAACGACGGTTTTTTTTTTTTTTTTTTTTTGTACGAACATGTTCGTATACCATGATTTTATTTGTATAGAACATGTTGTTTTTATGTTTAAAATAATGTTTTTGTTGAGTTTAAGAATAATTTAATTGAAATATTTGACGTTTCATGCTAGTTTCAAATATAAATGTATTATAAAAATTCTTTAATTCCATAACTTTACCTTACTCATACTTATTATTTAAAATTGTTAGAATATAACGATAAATTTAAAAATAGTTTTCACTTAAATTTTCGAATAATTATAATTATATTTGAAAATATTATTTATACATTTCATTATGTTCTTAATAAGGTAATTAGATTCCTTATAATCTACAATAAGGAATTCATATTGTTTTGTCAATTATACTGTTGTGTTATATGTCAAAACATCCTTGAATTCCCAAGAATCATAATATAGTTATTATTGACTAAAAAAAAAAAAAAAAAAAAAAAAAAAACCTGGGTAACAATGGACAATGATTGGTGAGAATTAAAGTATTATATTATTATAAACCAATAATATTTATCACGAATTGAGACGTAGAATGATGATTGAACATTTTCCATGTGCTTACAAATTATTGTTTACACATAAAAACCTAACGCGTCATTCGATATATTAGTCAATCATTTGTAAAATTACTTTGAAGAGAATATAATTTCAATTTTAATTCAATTATAATAAGCAAATAAGAAGAAGAAAAAAACATACATAAATAAAATTAAACCAAAATATAATACTTGTAATATTAATAATAATTTTTATATTAAGTTTACATTAAATTTACATTAATTTATGTTTATATTTGAATATTAATACTGATGTTATTTTCACGATTGCCGTTAAATTAGATTGCATTTAAATAAAAATTAAAGATTATAACTTAGGTATTCTCAGTTTTCACACTCTATATCTTTCAAAACTATTTTTAAGAGTAAATTTTTATTATTGTTTAATAACAATCAATATTACTTATTATATCTACTTGGTTATCAATTTATTATCATTTATTCATCGCCAACGTATTTGAAGACGCAATATCATAATTGATATTCGAATTTATAATTTAATTGTTCGCAATACATATGATCGTTATGATAGATTACTATTTATAAGGATAGAAGATTATAAAATGTCATTTCTTTGTTTTTTTCACCTTTAAGGTAACTTTTTTTTTTCATTCAGATTTTTTATCAATTTTCATAGATCAACTTATTTATAAGTCTGATTAGAATCATTTTACGAACTACTCTCCATTTCAATTATTATCTTAACTTATTACGATGGTTAATTAAGAATAATTTGTATTATATTAAAGAAAGAATAATTATCTCTTTCCGAATCATTATAATTTACACATAATGTTCTAATTTATGTTTGTATTACAATTATGACTCTTTGTCCTAAGAGACATTGACCAGAAACAATAAATTAACTCAGTTTAGTCAACTTCACCTTCATACATTGTAAGGAAGAATATTCTAAAAGTTTATTGTCATATTTATATTGATAATAATAACAATATGATCTATTTTTATTTTCTATATTTGGAGATTTCTAAATTACACTTTAACTGCAAGAACATTTTAATTCAGCAAGATTTACACTTTTTTAAAATGTGTTTTCGATTTTATAATTATGAATATCTATAGCTTTGTTTCTTATGAATTTCTTTCCTATAATTGTTATTATCATAAAATTTGGTGAAATTAATTTCTTTATCTAGAGTTCCCACAAGTAGCTTTGGAATATTTTAATTTTTCACCTCAGAAATATTCATTGATTCGAGATTTATTCAAGATTTCAGATATGTTGTATCTTAAATTAAAATTTTAATTATAGTAAACTTTCTTTAAAAATGATTTTTAATTTTTTAAAGTCTTATAAATTACTTATACATTATAAATCACTAAAATTAATTCAAAACGTTTAAAGCTAATGAATACAAATATCTCAAAAGGTATTATAAACAACACCAGTTGAGCAAAAGCAATATCATTTCGTTCTACATGAATTTTTTTCTTTTTTTTTCTTTTGAAGTTCTTCTTAATTTTACAAGATACTAATTAAAAATGTTGAGATAGATATACTGTTATTTTTAATACAAAAATGCAATTAAAAATATTTCGTAAAGAATGAAAATTTATTTAGAATTTATTTACTTATTATTAATGGTAATTTAATACTTACTTATTGTTTTAACTAAAACTATTGTATTTAAAATAATAACATTTATTGTAAATTATATTAAAACTGACTTAAATAATCAATAAAAGTAATTTTCAGTATACTTTGGTAAATTGATACATGGCTTCCGTAAAAAAGTTTCAATGAGGACCGATCAAAGAATATTGTTGATGAACGAAATAATAAATGGAATTCGTGTAATCAAGATGTACACTTGGGAGCCAGTTTTTCGAAAATTTATATATACAGCAAGAAGGTATTCAAAATATTCTTTATTTTTTTATTTCAATGATATTAGCTGGTAATAAAAAATAAAATTGGATTAAATTATCTTATCTGTGTATAATAGATTATTGCAGTACACGGCAATATAAATTTATTTATTAATCATAAAACTTGATAAAAACGATGATTGTATCGGTAATTATTACTAAAGTAAATTGTTAATGTTTAATAAATAATTTGCTGAAAAATATGGAGATACTTGTGGCAAATCAGTATTTCATATACATTATGAAGATTTGTTGTGGAAATTTTATAAATTATTTATCATATTTTTTTCAGAGTTAGCAAAATTTTTCATTCGTTACTTTATCATATTTGGAATGATTTGATATCTATTTATATAAGCATATTTCTACGATAAATATAATTTTTTAGTTTTACAAAAGTATTAATTTGAGTTTGTAATATTATAATATGATCAGATTAAAACTGACAATGTACTTACTGTTTACATAAAATTTCAAATATTTAACTAAATTTCACTTATCATTATTCATCAAATGAATATATTATATTGAAATTTGTTTAAATTAGTTTCCACTAATTTTTTTTTTTTTTTTCTTCTTTTTTTTTTAAATTAAAATTCCATTAAACGCATATTAAATATTTTTATTTGTTTCAAGCTATGAAATCGATGTTATTGGAGTTGTAAATTATTTGAAGGGCACGTGCTGGGCATTTTATGTTTATACTCAACGAACAGCATTATTTGTTACAATTCTAGTTTACGTCCTAGAGAATAACATTATATCAGCTGATAAAGTTTTCACGATAGCCCAATACTATTCTATAATTCAATTATCCATGGCAACTTTATTTCCTCGAGGTTTGCATTTTTACGCTGAAGCGAGAGTATCAATCAATAGGATCCAGGTAAATTATGATCATTAATTAAATTACTATATAAATACTCCGTGGGTATATTAAAATTGTGCTTTAAATATTTTAAAAAAGTATAAATAATGTAATTTATAAGATAAAAATGTTAATTTATAGAGTATTAAATATAAGTATTAAATTGAAATTTTTATGTTTTTCTTTAGCTTAATTATCTTCTATATTATTATTTATATCTCTAATAGAAGCTATGAAATTTTTTTAAAACTTTTAATAATTTTGTAATAGAAACAGTTGCAAACTCTATTAGTTTGCACTCTATTAGTATGTATTCATCTCGAGATAAATTTTACATAAATTTGTTTACAAGATTGGAAAATCATTTGAATTATAGTAAAATTAATAATGTGAAATTAAAAAAAAAAAAAAAAAATAAACTATATTCCGAAAAATTTACAGATAAACAAATTATATAATTTATATTCATTATTAAAATCATAGGTAATAAAATTGTTTAACAATGTATAAAATCACTAGAAATTTGAATAAAAATTGTATAAAAAATTAAGTAAGATAAATAAAACTATACATTTTATGTTTCCGATATCATATTTAAATGACAATGATATGCGCATCAATCGATTAAGTATCGGGATAAACGCATAATGAGTGTAAATTAATGAAACGCCGATAGTAATGTCTATATATTAATGGTCAGGGTATAAAAATTGTATAAAAATATTTTCATTTTTACAGAACTTTTTACTTTTTGAGGAAATTAAGAATGAGAATAAACTTGATGATCAGAATGACAAGGAGAGAACAATTTTTATAGAAAAAGTACAAGCATCTTGGACCGAAGAGTCGACTGTTAATGTTTTAAATGATATTAATGTTACTATAAAAAATCACGATTTATGTGTAATAGTGGGAAATGTTGGTGCGGGAAAGGTACAGTATCAAAAGCAAAATATTTGTATTCTTTTGTTGTTGAAAAGGTTGTTTTAATTTTTCAGTCATGTTTATGGAACGTACTTTAAATTAAAGTTAAGAAATTATTCTTAACAATGAAACTCGTAAATTAAGACTGAAAACTTCTGTTTGTTTGCAACATAATATTAATTAAAAGCGTTATTAATCAAACATTCTTAATATAATTTAAAAAAGAAAATAATAAAAGAAAAATATCATTATATATAATCAAGCCGACTGACAAAGAATCTTTTTCTTATTTTGGCATAAATAAGATAAATCGTAATGTCGTAAATAGAATATATCGTATATTATACTAAATCTTCAGTTGGCTTACCCACTATACTGAAAATATTTTTTATTTTTTCATCTGCTTTAGAGTTCCTTCCTGAAACTACTACTTGGCGAGTTCCGACCAAGCACTGGTCGCATTTCCATGCACGGGAAATTTTCATATGCTAGTCAAGAGCCTTGGCTTTTCACTGCATCCATTAGAAATAATATCATTTTCGGTGAGGCCTATGACGAGGAGAAATACAATCGTGTAACGACCGCGTGCTGTTTAATCCCTGATTTTCAACAATTGCCACATGGAGATCGAACTCTCGTTGGTGAAAGAGGCGCATCCCTAAGTGGCGGCCAATGTGCCAGGGTTAATTTAGCTAGGTGAATCACTTTTCTTTTTTACTTAGTTATTCTCGTTGTAGATAGTTTACAAATTTAATATATTCAATTGGCATAGTAAGTATAAATGACTAAACTGGATGCATAATGAATAATTGAGAGGTCATTGGGAGAATGAAATTTTTCTTCCATTTTAGCAGAATATAATTAACTTCATTGAACTATATAGCATTTAATTATATAGTTGCGTTTACGTTTTTTTATAGTATAAACTTAACACAAAAATTAAAGGTGTACGCGCGTAAAAAATATAATTCAAACTTAATAAAAAAAAAATACTGTTTCTTGTTCACTGCTTTATTATTGCATGTGATATAATGATTGCAAAATTCTATTAATAATTGAATTTTATTTTCGTTATAATACGATATTTTGCTTTATATTTATAAAATAATAACACAATGACGTAATAATAATAATTTTATAATGAAAAGGTTCATTCAATTCATTTCATGCGTTCATCATTTTTTTTATTATATGTTCATAATGTAGTAGTGCGTTACATCATATTGCATTATATTTCATTGTGAAACGCAATATCGTAGAAATATTTTCAATAATAAAATTTATAATAATTATAATTAACGTTATCAAAGATTTACTTATTAATGAAAAGCTTATAGCTAATATTAATTAACACAGTTATCATTTAAGGTATTGAAATGTATATGTACCAACGATTAAGGTCAAGTAATACTACATATTACTTACTTTATACATTTTTTTTTTTTTTTTATAATAATTAATATTATTATGTATTAACAATATTTGGATTTTCATAAAATATTAATACTTATTTATATTAACTTTTGTACTGCTGTATTTAGAGTAAAGTAGATATTTATTTGCTATGTACTTATAGAAATAAATTGAAATTAATTTAATTTAATTTCTTATTAATATGAAACTATAAAATTGATTATAATGAAACTGTATTGAAACTGTAATGAAACTATTAAATTCATTATAATTTCTTTATTATTATATTGGAATTTTAATCGTTTCTGCTTCACAACACAATATTGAAATATTTCAAATTATAGTCATTTTGACATAATTATGATTTTTGTAAATATGTTTATAATTTTTGGAAATAGATAGATATTTGTAAATCTCATTTACTTGATCAATTGAAATTTAACTGTAAGTATAAGTAATAATTTAAACAAAATAATATAAAATATGGAGTATTTTAATTATTTTTTGGGATCAATTAAAAATTTTTGTTTATTTCTATTTATTTTTGTTACGATTTTTGTTTCTCTTCGATTGATATAAAAATTAACAAATACACATCAACATTTATATACATAACTTTGACCTACTGAAAATTCTAATATATAGAAAGATTAGTTTTTTTTTTTTATAAATTTATTTAAAAGAGAATCGGTTGTTTGTTTTTATTATAGAATTTTGTAATATTATTAGCCAATATGATTAGAAATTTAGTTTTATATCTATAATTTCCATATTATTAATTATTGAAGCTGTGCTTAAATAATAATAATAATACTGGCAGAAATATTCGTATAATAAATTAAATATTACATTTCAGAGCCGTATATAGAGATGCTGATATATACATTTTGGATGATCCTTTATCAGCAGTTGATACGCGTGTTGGTAAACGCCTTTTCCAAAATTGCATAAATGGATATTTAAAAGATAAGACTCGTATATTAGTGACTCACCAAATTCAATTTTTAAAAGATGCAGATAAAATTATTTATCTTGTAAAGGTATTTAAGAGCTAATACATTACTCAATGTTGTATTAACATTAGTTTCTGTTATATTGTTCATCATGATATTTAATGAAATTTTTGCGTGAGACATTACTTTATTTCTTACGTATCGATGTATTAATGACCAATGATATCAAATAATCGTATTGTAGAATATATTATAATAGTTACTTTTACCCACAAAATTGCTAAATAATTTCTTTTTTTTTTGTCTTTAGATTTTATATAATTATATAAATAACAATTTTAATAGAAATTCAACAACTATTTTTACAATGTACGCTTATGACTCACAATATTTCTATAGGGGCATATTCAATTTGAAGGGCAGTTTGAAGATTTCCAAAAGTGCAATGAATATTTCGAGAACATGGATGAAAATGAATTGATCGAAAAACCATTAGCGAAGGACCCAGCCAATATAAGCGTTACCGAGGATTTACTAGATATTCCTACTTCAACTGACAATGAAAATCAGGAAGAGCCGAAGGAAACCGAAGAACTTGTAGCAAAAGGGATCGTTGCAAAATCTCTTTATTGGAAGTATTTCCGAATAAGTGGCTCTTACAGCTTATTGTTTCTATTAGTCATTATCATTATAACGGCTCAGCTACTTAGTAGTAGTAGTGATTATTGGGTTGCATATTGGTAAGATAAAGGATATACAATAAAATAAATTTTGCATTATTAAATTTAATCAATTAAATATTATATTTTCAGCAATAATTGCTGATGTAAACTTAGTTTATTTATATCTAAAACACATTTTAAGGATATTATATTAGGTATCCTCTATTAATATTAGAAAAGCAAACAAAAAAAAAAAAAAAAAAAAAAAAAAAAAAAAAAAAAATCGTTGAATAAAATATAACGTTTAATTTTAATTTTAATTTTAAATTTATATTATATCAAGCTATTCTAATGGAAATATTTTAGATTTTAAATAATATTATCATAATTTATTTATGGAACATAATTAATATAATAAAAAAAATTTTGATTAATTTCATAGGATCAGGATGGAACATGATAAATATGATACATTATTAACCGAATATAACAAAAACATTACAAAACCTTCAACCGAGGCAGGAATATTAGATTCTGTGATTAATCGCACAAACTTATCACCAATGACAAATACAGAAAGGACAGGATATTTTGATAAACACATGGCTCTTTTTATATATGGATTTCTAGTATTTGGTAGTGCGATTATGTTAACTGGAAGGAATTTATTGTTATACAAAATCTGTAATAATACAAGTAGTAATATTCATAATCAAATGATCGATCGAATTTTAAAAACGCCGATAAAATTTTTCGACTTAAATCCCTCTGGTATGATGTACAGATATAAAATATTTTAATTTTAATTATTTACCACATAATTCGATAAAAGTAATTTTACATTCCTTTCGTAGGTCGAATTCTTAATCGTTTTTCCAAAGATCTTGGAGCCGTCGATGAACTTTTTTCATTTGCATTAGTCGAATGCATGCAAATAGCCTCTGTTTTGATTGGTGTAATTGTCCAAGTACTTATTATTAACTGGTGGATGGTTTTTCCGATGTGTATAATGTTATTACTTCACTGGACGATAAAGAATTTATATATTTCAACTGCTCAAAATTTAAAGAGATTGGAAGGCAATGGTGTGTTTATGTTTTCAAAAATTAACAATAAAAATGTAATCCTTTCCACGGGACACCCGATCAATAATTAATGAAAATTGAAAATACTAAAAATAAACTCGATATTAATATTGGGATTATTTCTTTTTATATTCCATTAGCTAATTTTGTCATTTGAAATTTTCATGCCAAGTAATAAATTGTAAATGTTAACGATAATGTTGATTATTTATGAAGGATTCGTTTGCTTAAAGATTTCTTGCTTTTAGCTAAAAGTCCAGTATTATCTCACGCTAATTCCTCTATATCTGGACTCTTGACAATTCGCTCGTGCCAAGCCGAGTCATTGGTTTGTAAAGAGTTCGATAATCAACAGGATGTTCATACGGCAGCCTTTTCCTTGGTTTTAGCATCCATGACGGCCTTCGGATTGTGGATTGACTTGGTGACCGTATGCTTTTCAGCTGTTGTTAATTATAGTTTTATCATATTCGATAGCAAAAGCATTTCTGGTGAAAATGTTGGCCTTGCTATTACTCAAGTTTTAGCTTTATGTGGCATACTACAACACGGCATGAAAATGGTTGCTGAAATAATGACGCAGATAATTAGCTTTGAGCGATTGTATCAATTTACTAAGTTAGAGCAAGAGGGTCCTTTCCAAACTGAGCTTGGTAAAGAGCCGCCTAAGACTTGGCCAGATAAAGGAGAAATCCAATTTGAACATCTGTATCTCAAGTATAGTAATGCCGACACGTCTGAACCTGTTTTAAAAAATCTGTGTTTTAATGTGAAATCAGGAATGAAGGTACGATTATTAAGTAAGGACGGATGTTTAATTGGGTCAGTTGATTGTTGTTCAAGTAATTGCCAAAATATTAATTAACATGGTTATGCTATTTGAAAAGCTGATGTTAAATATCGATGACAATAAAGGATATATAATTTTTAATAAAGCCTTGGTTGGCAGTTTGTCTATGTAATGGTTATTAATCATGAATTATTAATTGCTATTATTAAAACTCAAACAGGATACGACAATTACGATTCGAATAATTTATCGTGTATTATTACGTATAATAGGCGAATATTACGATTTAAGTCGAACGCTTAGATTATAAAATGCATGCCAGATATTTCGATAATTTAAAAAAAAAAAAGAAAAATCTATCTCTATTTATTTCAACATCAATCATTTTTATTCAATATTTCGACTTTATATAATTATATTTTTAATATATGATCTATGATTAATATTTCTATATAATTAAATTAAAACGAAGTATAAAAACGAAGTAAATAAATAAATAAAAACGTACATTTCACTTGAATTGCAAGCAATAATTAAAGCGTTTCTCAAATCTATACGGATGTAACGTGGATTGGAATTTAATTTATGTTTAACGATTATCAATATGCATTAATATTGCCAAATAATGTTATAAAATTTTCTAAGGTTGGTATAGTTGGACGAACGGGGGCCGGAAAATCATCCCTGACATCCGCACTTTTCCGATTAGTTCCCATCGACGGTGGTCTCTACATCGATGGCGTGGACACGACAAGAATTGGCCTGAATGATTTGCGTAGTAAGATCTCCATAATTCCGCAAGAGCCAATGCTATTCTCCGGATCTATCAGAGAAAATCTCGATCCGTTTCATGAGTTTGATGATGCTATTATTTGGTCGGCTTTGCAAGACGTTGAATTGCACAAGGCATTTACTTCTCTAGATCAGTTGGTTGATCAAAGTGGAAAAAATTTTAGTGCCGGTCAACGGCAGCTCCTTTGTCTGGCTCGTGCCATCGTAAAAAAGAATAAGGTTTTGGTATTGGATGAGGCGACGGCCAATGTCGATCATCTCACCGACGCTCTGATACAAAAAACTATTAGAATTAACGTAAGTTATGAACATTTTTTTTTAGAAATAGAATAGTATTGTTTGTAAAGCTGTATTTAAAATTTTTCATATTAAAGAATTTCTTATTTTCTTCAATATATTCAAATAGTCGACAATAGTTTTTTCTAGTACATTTAGCATATTTTTCTGGTTCTATGTAGTACTTTACGTAATAATTTTGAAATTTATTTATTTTAATATTCTTATGTAATATAAAATATGAAACATAATTATTAATTATGTTCTCTGACTAATATGCATTAGTTTAATAACACGATATTTACAATAAAATATTTATATTTATAATAAAGCAATGATATTCAATTCAAGATTGACTATTATTATAATTAATGCTTAATAAGAAATTAATTGCAATCTTATTAAGAAAATATAGAAAGGCAATGTTGCATAAACGTTTTTTAATTAAAAATTTGTGTTAACTAAGTAGTGAAAATTATTTAATTTAATGTATTCCAATTGTAATTCTGAACAATGATATGATTCAATAGAAATTGTATTATAAAAAGAGATTTATAATCGATCAGTGTTCTAGGAATATCTTTATTAATTGAAAATCATTTACATTTTCACACGTCACATAAGATGGGTGAAATTTCTTTTTGTACTTTCTCGTGAGTTATTTTATAAACTAAAAGTAATTTATTAGATATTGCACGTTTAAATAATTAATTAAAATTATCCAACCAAAAAGTTTAAATAATAAAGTAAAAGTTTTTCTTTTATTAAAACTAATGAAAAGTTTTGTATGTTAAAGTTTATGTATAAGACTTTATTCTCATAATTATATAGATACAATATTTAAATAATTGTTCCCATCCCTTTAATAGATATAAATTGAATATGTAATCTACATTTGGAAAATTTGATTTATACTTTTATTTACAGTTTAAAGACTGTACGGTCTTGACAATAGCTCACAGATTAAATACAATCATGGACAGTGATAAGGTATTAGTAATGAATAATGGAGAAGCTGAAGAATACGATCATCCCTATGTACTATTGCAAAAGAATAACGGTCACTTTGTCAAAATGATAGAACAAACTGGGAAAGCAATGGCTGAACATCTTATGAAAATTGCAAAGGAAGTAAGTAGTAGTTCTATAAAATAACGTCATATTGAAATTTAATTCATTCCCATGCGTTTGTTTGCAGGCATACGAAAAGGAGAGAAAAAGTATTGATGATAATGATGAACTGAGAAAGAATGAATAAATAAAGAATGTGCAAGTTATAAATTGACAGAAATATTTTGTAGTATTAAGAGAAGGTTTTTTAAGTTTGGCCTTTAAGGATAGTAACTGTACAGTATAAAACAACACTTACAAGTGATTGACAAGTTTAATTTTAATTTTTTAGGATTAATAAATACGATATTTTTTAATTTGAAAACTAAATAAACTAATAATAATATATCTATATAATTTTATTTAAGAAGGTGCTATTTACTTAAATATTTTTTAATAAACTAGTCGATCATTAGTACTTTAATTATATTTGTGATATAAATATTTTGTACAACATACGCTAAAGAACAAATATAATGTAAAATATAAATTATTATTACAATATTAATGTTTATAATATTTTTAAAAGAATAATATATTTTAATCTTATCTTATTGCATTATAATGTCTAATTGAGATAATTAAAAATGTTTTCTTTTTTAAGACAGAATAACTTTTAATAAATTATATAAATATATGAAATAAATTAATATATAATAATAAGCTATTTTATTTTATATAATATTTTAAGGCTCATTCATTTATTCTCTGTACATCATTCTAACTTGATATTCAATATTATATTTCATTTATGATAATTAAATATAGTTTATTTTTTTAAACAAATTAATTGAAAACATTCATTGCTTAGATATTTAACTAGCTGTACATAATTACACATACCTACTCACATAATAAATCAGTCGAATAGTAAACTAGGAAATGTGTGAATTTCATTTTTATAAATTATTATATATTTTTTAAAGCGGTTAACTTTTGTGAAATATTAATTTTTATATAAATTACATTTATAGTTTGAATATAAATTTAATTTAATTTATCAAACCGATCTCCATAGCATTAGAAAATTAATTTAATAATACATATTTTTTATTGGATGTCATTCAAAATTAATTAAAAATCGAAATATTTTTTATTACATTGTCTTTCAAAATTTTCAAATATATGTGTTAATGCAGCAGTCGTTCGTTATTACGTAATTTAAAAATCATTCTAAATTTATATATTAAATTTGCTTTAATTATTAACTTTTTTTCCATTCTCGCTAATGTAATGTATATGAAAATTAATTTTCATAAAAATTATATTTATTCAATATAGTATTTGTTATAATGTATATTTTTATAAATTTAAGCGATATCTCAGATTTTATTTCTATATAAATACTAAGTACACAATTTGGCATTTGATATATAACAAATTGTATTCTTTTATCATTTTTATAACTGTATTACAATATTTATCAATAACTTTGGAAGAGAATTGAAACTTTTTGATTTATTTTATTAATAAATCTGCTCCCATCATGACATTTCAAGAATTAAATAAAACAAAATATATCGTATTTCTCTATAATACTGAAAAAATATGAATTCTAATTTATATAAACTGTATTATAATTCATAATGTATTAATTTGTTATGATTTCTTGTTTATATGCGGAGGTTTTAATCGAGACTTCATTTTATTTAAATATTTTTCCAAATCAAATATGTCATGTTAATGTATTTTTTGCCATAAAAATTATAATAGATTATGCAATATAAAGACATTTTTCTTGCCTATATTTCAATATTCAATTTACATCGAAATATGTATGTCAGTGAATCTTGATCCAATTTTATTTAAGAATTAATGTCATGATAACATTCTATTAAAAGTTCATCGTCATATTTGCTTTTATTTGATTTTCACGATTTTCATTTTCATTTCGTCATCGATCATTTAATCACGAGTGAATAATAATGCAGCTATTTACTTTAATTATTTATTAAAGCCTTGCTAAATGATACATTAATTAAAATTTTTCCATTTTACATTATAATTGATATTATAATCTTAGCGTTATTTGAATTTCTTATTATTAAATCTATTTTATTAAATCATAAAATTATTAAATCAATATTATATTTATCATGGTATAACAAAAATGTAATATTCTAAATTAGAATCAATATATAAAATACTTGACATGGTATATTTTATAGAGGTTTCATTAGATTTCCAGTCATGGGTAAGCAAAGATTAACTACCGTACGCCGATAATTAACATACAGTATTTTACGTTATCAACATAAAGTACAGCAGTTTGCTATATTAGAGTACATACTTATCACATAAAATTGATGGAATAATAAATTAAAATTGTTTTAGCGTAATCGAGATGCTTCTAGTATTTTACATTTTACTAATGGGCTAGTAATATACTATAAATACGCCGTCTTAATATTGTTAAACAAAAATATTTTATTGATAACAATATTTCATATACTTAATAATATAACATATGTATATATTTATCATAACTTTATGTAGTATTTGAAAATATTTTAATGAAATTAATCTCTTTTTAATTATATTGTTACTTTATAAAGTTAATATCTATTATATATTCACGAAGTTTTACAATTTTATTTGAATAATTTGATAAAATTGTAGTAAATGAAAATAGGTTTATAAAAATTCTGATCTTTTTAGTTAAAAATTATGTAATAGCAGATTAATAAGAATGTTTAATAGCAACTGTTATAAGAAAAATTAGAATCTGAGCTTTTTAAAATAATTATCATTTTTTGAAATTTAATATATTTAAATGTAAATGAAAGATGATTATTAAATGAAAGATAATCATAATTTCGTACGTTATTATATAACAAATATATTTTGCAACAAATACAGTTGCAACGATTAAAGCTATTCGGCAGAATCTAAAATGGGACCTATACGGAGTAATTTTATTTTATAGACCATAGATGTTGAGATAGGACGTACACGATAAAAAATTTGAAATCAATGAAATAATAATAATGTTAATATTAAAATTTGCTTTTATAATATATTTTGAAATGTAAGATAATAATATGCAATTATATTATTGTAGTATTAATGCACTATTTATATGCAATCTTTTGATATTTAAATTCATGTATTATTAAGTACATTTCGATGATAATAATAATAATAATAATAATAATAACAATAATAATAATAATAATAATAATAATAATAACAATAATAATAATAATAATAATAATAATAATAA